ACAATGGAAGTAGAGGGACCAGGAGCAGAGGAAGAAGGGAGAACAACAGAACAGCCTGAGGAACCGGGCGCAGCCGGGGAAGTGGGGAGGGGAGAAGGACCGGGGGAAGTGGAGGTCGTAGTGCAGCCACAGGGACAGGAGACTCGCTGGGACATAGGCGGAGCCATGCATGGGGAGACGGCGCTGAGATTGGAGGCAGTGCTACGACAGCATGCAGCCGCATTCGCACACACGCTGCACAGGAGGAGGAGGATGAGCCCGCAGGGACATCAGCATCTGCACGGGGAAATGCCAGGAGCTGCTGACAGCAGGACTGATTCGACGGTCCTCATCAGACTATGCGGCAGCCACGGTGGTGGCAGCAAGGACTGACTTGACGGGCACGGTGCTATCTCGTCGCATGTGCGGAGATTATAGAGGATTGAACAAGGTGACAGCGACAGATAGGTACCCTATGCTAATGGCTGAAGAAATATTCGATCAACTGCAAGGCAGCTGGGTCTTCTCTACGCTTGACCTGCGGCAGGGTTTCAATCAGATTCCAATAGCGGAGGAGGACAAGAAGAAGACAGCGTTCCACTTGCCGGATGGGCTGTATGAGTGGAACTACATGCCATTTGGGCTGCGAAATGCATCGGCGGTGTTTCAGCGAGTGATGGACGCAGTGTTAAGGGGACTGAGTGTCGCGGCATGCTACATAGATGATGTCATCATCTTCAGCCCAGACGCGGAAACCCACGTGCGAGATGTGGAAGCGACTCTAACGGCAATTGAGGCGGTGGGACTGACCTGCCATCCGGGAAAATGCCGCTTCGGGCATGGCAGCGTGGCTTACCTAGGATTCGAGGTGGCGGGAGGGGAGCTGAGCATACAGAAAGCCAAGGTTGAAGTGCTGGACAGGGTGGAGAGGCCAAAGGACCAGACCAGCCTGCACGCACTGTTGGGGTTTCTCAACTACTACCGCAAGTTCATAGAGAATTTCAGCAAGAGAGCGGCACCCTCGAACCAGTTGCTCAAGGAGGAGCAGAAGTGGCGATGGGAGGAACCACAGGAGGCAGCATTGCGCGGCCTGATGGAAGCGGTGAAGACGGGTGCGGTGCTGAAGTTACCAGATGGACAGCAGCCGTTCACCCTCTACACCGACTGGAGCAGCATAGGGATGGGGGCAGTGCTGAGTCAGATGGACAAGGGAGTGGTGGAGAAGGTCGTGGCCTTCGCTAGCAGGACATGCAGCCCCGCAGAGGCTAACTACTCGTCGTACGAGGGGGAGGGACTGGCGGCGGTCTGGGCAGTAGGGCACTTCAGGGTGTACCTGCAAAGGCGGCATTTCACCCTGGGAACAGACCATCAGCCATTGCTGTGGCTGATGCACAACCAGACGCTGACAGACAGGAACGCGCGGTGGGCGATGAAGCTGCAGGAATACGATTTCACAGTGAAGCATCGGCCGAGCAAGACGATGCAACACGTGGATGGGCTATCCAGGAACCCACCTCGCGAAGGAGATAAGCAAGGGACAGAGCAGGGGCCACCGTCAGCGGCGCTCACCGCCATGGTGAGCGAACACCAGCCAGGAGGACAGCAGCAGAGAGGAGCAGCAGACGTGTGGCAGGATCAGGAAACGCTGGCATGGATTATGGGAGAAACAGCGGAGGACGGAGGAGCAGGGGCAAGAGCAAGGGCGCGGGGACAACACTACCGGTGGTTCCAGGGGCAGGTGCAGCTGCAGACTAAGGACGGATGGAAGAGGGTACCGGCGCCAGCAGAGAGAGAGGGTATTATACGAGAAGTGCACTGCAAGCTGGGGCATTACGGACCTCTGAGGACTCAGCAGCTGCTGCAGACGGGGTGGTGGTGGGCAGGGATGCGGAAAGAGGTGAAGGAATGGGTGGCGCAGTGTGAGCTGTGCTGCAGGAACAAAGCCAGCCTGCTGAAGAGCCAGGCAGAACTCCAGCCCTTGGCAATTGTGGAACTAGGGTACTGCTGGTCCCTAGACATCGCGGGAGAACTGCCAGTGTCGCGAAGGGGCAGGAGGTACGTCTTGCTCATGATAGAGCACGTGAGCAAGTGGGCAGAGGCAAGACCTCTGGTGGCAAAAACGGCAGAGGCGATCGCTGAAGCGTTCGAGGAGATGGTGTTGACGCGGTTTGGGGCGTGCGGAGAGGTGCTCACGGATCAGGGGACGGAGTTTAAAGGGGAATTCAAGGAGCTGCTGGCTGAGAATGGCATCCAGCATCGGACGACATTCAGGTACCACCCCCAGAGTGATGGACTCACGGAGCGGCTGGTGCAGACGGTGAAGAAAGGCATCAGGGCATACGGGGAAGCGAACAAGGGAGACTGGGACAGGAAGTTGGCGTGGGTGATGGCAGGGTATAGGTTTAGCAAGCAAGCATCCCTGAAGGACGTCTCTCCGTACTACTTGCTGTTTGGGAAGCAGCCCATACTGCCAGTGGATGCGCCAAGGCTGCTGGTGGACAGCGTGACAGCTCGGACTGCTGAGAAGTGGGTGGCGCTGGCGGATGCCAGGGCCAGGTACCTGAAGAAGATGCTGCCTGCAGCTATGGAGAGCTTGAAGGTAGCACAGCTGCACGATATTCACCGTTACAAGCAGCGGCAGTTGAGTAAAATGCAAGGAAAGCAGCCAGAGATTGAAGAGGGGCAGGCAGTGTACGTGCGACAGGCAAAGAAAGACGGGTTGGACGTGGGTGTGTCCCAGCAGAGGTGGGAGGACAGTGAACGAGGAGTACGACAGGGGGGCCCCTTAGGGCCCCTATTGTTCGCGGCTGGAATTCACCCAGCACTACAAGCAGCAGCTACCGCACATCCAGGCGTACTGTGCCTGGCGTACGCCGATGACGTCAGCTTTTTAGGCAAGCCGCAAGAGACGGTCGCCGCTTTTTCCCACTTCACGGACCAACTCTCCCAAGTAGGTCTGCGGCACAATCCAGGAAAATGCGCCGCATGGAGCAGCCGTCCGTTAGACGAAACAGTGCAGCTGCCGCCCGGGGTACCAACTAGTAACGATGGAGTCAGGCTCCTCGGCAGCTTCCTAGGAACACTAGACGGCGCAGCCTCCTTCCTTTCCGCACAATTATAGGCCATGTCCAAGCCGCTGCCCCTGATAGAACGGATGGACCCACAGCTAGCCTCCCTTCTGCTCACCCGCTGTATCTCACGTCGAGTAGCCTACCTCACACGCACAACACCCCTGCACCTCCTGGACGGCAGTACATGGTCACAGTGGGGGAGAGACCTACTGTCCACCCTCCTAACAGCGTGCGGCATACGAATCCCAGCAGACAGCACTGAACAAACTCGGGTCTGGGAGCAGTCATCGCTCCCACCGTCATTAGGGGGCATAGGACTCACGGACCCCACGGTGGAGGGTACATTTGGCTTCCTAGCAAGCTTCACACAGGCATCACTCCTCCTTAGCACCCTACCGCTGGAATCGGAAGAAGCCCTGACGGCGGTCAGGGACCACATGCTGCTGCCGCGAGACGTATCTACAGACCTGCATCGTTGGCTGTCCGAATGTGAAGCGTCGCTCCCACAGGGAGCCAGAGACATCCTGGACAAAGAACGACTGGAGCCAAAGGGTTTGAAGCTGCAGCACGAGCTCAGGGTGAGGGTGCAGGGCAGCAGATATGCAGCGCAAGTGCAGGCAACACGGCTCATGAGACTAAACCCACTGTCAGGCCATACACAAAGGTTTTTCTCACTCACAGGCTACGGTACAGGGGACTGGCTGACAGCAGTGCCAATAGAATCAACCCGCCGCGTGGGAGCAGAGCACTTCGCCAACGCTGTCCACTTCAAGCTCGGGCTTCCCTTCCCCACACCGAAAAACTGTGACTGTTCTAAACACATCGAGATCAAAGACCCACGGCTTCCTAACCACCTATTCTGCTGCGGCACAGGAAAGCACAGAACCAACACCCACAACGAACTGCGGGACGCGTGCATCACAATGGCACAAGACGCTGGCTTTATAGTCTACAAGGAATCAGCAGCATACTGCCCCATAGAAGAACAGACCGCGGACTTCACCATGCGCTGCAGGAGCACAGGGGCGGTCTATGTGTGCGACGTGACGATCACAGACCCCATTAGCACTAGGGACCCCAAGGCTTCCAAAGGGAGGGGATGGGCGGTAAGGGAGGCAGCAGACAAGAAAATCAGCCACTACGCAAACCGGCCTGACACGGTCGGTTTCTTCCCCCTAGCGGTCGAGACATATGGCTGCCCCTGTGCCGAGGTCCCACAGTTCCTGAAGTTGTTAGCGGATACAGCTGCTCGGCGCCACTTCAACGCCCAACCAACCTCATATCACGCAGCTAGATTCCTCCACCTCTTCAGGCAGTGATGGTCCGTGGCTCTCTAGAGAGCAGAGTCCGTAGGATACCTCATCAAGTCTTGTCAGGCGGCTGTGGCCGAGAATCCCCCCGTGGGGGGGGTGCAGTCCGAGCTCCACCTTGGGGACTGCTGTACTGTGCTGGAACCTCTCATGGATCTGTAGACGGGCACTATGTGTAGTTAGTTGGTTGTTTGTTTGCTACTCCTAGTCCTAGAAAGCATACTTTGCATGTTTTGTACTTTTCCTATAATCAATACAAGGACCATTCGAGAGAGAGAGAGAGAGAGAGAGAGAGAGAGAGAGAGAGAGAGAGAGAGAGAGAGAGAGAGAGAGAGAGGCACCTAGTGATTTAGCCTCTCGAGCCTCCCCTCAGCCTCCCTAGCCTCTGTAGCTCTAGTATAAAGGCCTTAGAGGCCCTGTTTCATCTTCATTATTCGGTTTTTGGGTTCAGTCCTTCTCCCAAACCGAGCGGCTCGCGCCGGCCGCCTTCGGCGGCCGACGCTCGACGGCGCGGCCTACGGCCGCGCGTGAGGGGACGGCAAGCACGTCGGCAGCAACATCAACTTATATCATCAAGGCATACACACATGGCAGGAGGTTACACCTACTAGCTACAACATGGAGCAAGCACGTGCGGATCCTACATCTGATCCGCGTCAAGGACAGCGAGAAGACCCGTCAGAGAGCGATGAAGCTCGCGCACCACCACGGTGGTTGCGCCGATCAAGTCGACTGCAGTCCCTGCGCGCAAAAACCGGCGCAGCCCACGGACTGCCGTCCCAAGCTGTCCAACGCCCGCAACTCCACCCCGCGCGGGCGCAGCCAACACGGGTGCCAGGAGCTCGACCAGCCGATCAGCGGCATCTAGGCACTCGTCCCGATGGCCACTGTCCAGAGGAACACCCTGGGCGAGAGCCGCGTGACCATACAACTGAATCAGGTGAACAGCCCGCAGGCCCTCAGAGAGGCGCCACAGCTGCCCCAGAGACGCCTCCGGCACCACAGCGGAAGGAGAGGGCCCCACCAGCGACTGTTGAGGTAGCGGAGCAGTCGGCAGAGGGGGATCGACGGGCAGCAGAGAGGGATACTGACCCGTCACGGGTCCCCTTGCCACAGGAAGAACCCACGGCAGGCGCATACGGTTCCCAAGTGCAGCAGCAGATGCAGAGGGAGCATGAGGAACGGCCGACTAGGGAAGAGGAGGCGCCGGCGCATAGGGCGCAGCTGGAGGAAGAGACGCATGCGTTGGAGCGACGCGAGGCGAATTGCTCTGGCTCGCCTGCCCGTTCCGCTCCTCGCGCACAGCAGCAGAAACAGCTCGCTGCAGATCGGCCATCGACACCGGCCGATCATACCCCCAGTCACCACCACGCCCGCGCCCTCCCCACCAGCCACCGCGACCACCGCGGGACACAGCCCAGCTCGCCTGGAAACCACGGCGCCGAGGAGAGTCACGACGCCGCCGCGTCATCTCTCGCTCGTCCCGTGGCGCCGGGGAGTGAGGCCGATGCTGCCGGCGGCCCGGAGTTGGCTGATGCTGAGCAGGGGGAACAGCAGCGAGCGGCGCAGGATCAGGCACCGCCTGGACGTTTGGGAGCGGCACAGAAATCGCCGCAGCTGGAGGGGCGGGAGCTTCAACAGGTCCCACCACGAGGGACTGGCCGGCAGTGGTGGCGGACACCGCCGGTTGCGACACCACCGGCGCGGCAGAGCCCACGGCGGCAGCCAGCGCAACAGGGGCAGCGTCGAATGGCGGGGCGCCAAGATCGACGGGAGGAGACAGAACAGCAACATCAGGGGCAGGGGGAACCGGGGCAGCGACAGGAGCAGGGGGAGCGGGAGCAGCGGCAGGAACCTGTCCTGCGGGAGCAGCGACAGGAGCAGGGGGAGCCGGATGCTGATCAGCTGCAGCAGGGGCCGAGGACACAGCCTTCAATGCGGGAGGCAGCGGCGGCTTCAGGGCAGCAGTCTCAGAGGCAGCAACAGGCAGGGACCTTCCGCTCACCGCTGACGCAGCGGCAGCGGGCGATGGCGTTGGCCACGGCTCGCCGGCAATCACCATTGCAAGGGAGAGGACGAGGAGCGGGACGGCGAGAAGGAAACAGGGTTGAAGGGGGTCCGGAGAACGCGTTCCAGTCTGCAGGGCGTCGGGCTTTAACACTACCGGATACTGAAAGTAATGAGCGGAATGATCCGTCTTATAGGGAGGAGGCACGTGAAGAGAGTAGCGGCAGTGATGAAGAAGTCGAGGAGGAAGTGAGGGAGCAGCCGAGAGGGAGAAGTGGGAGGAACCAGAGGGGTGCAGTTGGACAACCAGGTCCAAGTGTGGCCCAGAGGGAGGACGAGGGTGAACCGCACGATGGCAATCGTACGGTTGGAATTCCAACCCGGCCGGCCCAGGGAACATCGGGTCGCGCCAGCACAAACCGGGCCGCACATCTCCAAACCAACGAGCCTCCACAACCACCCCGATATTTTTCGCCAGGCGAACTGGCGATGCAGCAGAATCGTTTCGCTGCAGCCGCGACTTGGGATCTCGCGCCTCTCTGCGATAGTCGCCAACCCCCACTGACACGCCGCATACCGCCAAATCTTTGTGAGCTGTTTGCGCTGACTTTGCTGACGCCACTCCTACACCTGTCGCGGAATCCAAATTCCATTGCAGGTTGGCGCCTGCTACTGTTCCTCCCACGCCTAATCCTGCGCCAACCCTCACCAAAGCGTCCTGACTGGGCCAAAATCAAGGCTCGGATTCGATCATTCCAACGTGGCGAATGGGACCAGCTCTACACCGAAGCCACAGAAGCTGTCAACACGCCACCGCCGCCACGTCACAGACCTGACGAAACCGGGGTCATCAGCAGAGCCGAAGGCCTGGCAAAGCGGGGGAGTCTGCGTCGGGCCGTTCTGGCCCTCGAGTCAACGCCAGTTTGCACCCCCAGCCCCGACATTCTGACCGAGCTGCGTCGAAAACACCCGCCCGCTGACACCGAGCCTCTGACTTGGCCACCCCACGACCAACCGCAAAGCCTGGCCATTTTCCACGCTGACTTCGTCAAATTGCTGAGCCGCTGCGAGAATGGGGTGGGTGCCGGCCCGTCTGGCACCACTTTCGAACACTTGCGCGACTCCGCAGTAACAAATGCGTCCGTCTGCACACACCTTCACGCATTGGTCAACACAATCTTGGGAGGGAAGCTTCCCGAGCCCGTAGCAAAGCTACTCACGTCGTCACGCCTGGTAGCGCTGGCCAAACCAGAGGGAGGCGCCAGACCCATAGCGATAGGCGAGTGCCTGACTCGCCTGGCGGCAAAGGCGGCTCTGACGGTCATGGGAGAAGCTGCACGGGAATTCTTCCTCCCGTTACAGTACGGCGTGGCAGTACCGGGAGGAGCGGAAGCAATCATACACACAGCACGTGCTTTCACTGATGCAAGGCCAGATTCATTGATCTTGCAAACGGATTTGAAAAACGCGTTCAACAGTATCTCACGGCAGGCGATTATAACTGCCTTACAAGACCCGTCCCTGTCGCCTCTGCTGCCGCTAGTTAAGCTAACATACGGACGGCCGTCGCAACTGCACCTAGACGCCGGCTTCGCTGCAGGACCACTTAGCAGCGAGCGCGGGGTACGCCAAGGTGACCCCTTTGGGCCTCTACTTTTTGCCGCTGGCATCCACCCGGCGTTGCGAGCGACAACAGTGGCCCACCCAGAAGTTCTGTGCCTCGCTTACGCGGATGATGTCAGCTTCATCGGCAACAAAACTGAAACAGTTGCGGCTTTCAAACACTTCACCGGCCAGCTAGCAGGACTAGGCTTAGAGCACAACCCCGCGAAATGTGTGGCATGGAGCGAAACTGAGATAACCGACGCGAGGGAGCTGCCGCCAGGGGTGCCATTCACACGGGAGGGAGTTAGAGTGCTCGGAAACTTTTTAGGCACCACAGGCGGCGCTAGCTCTTTCCTAACGGAATAGCTACGGTCGATGGCGAAGCCGCTCCCGCTACTCGAACGCACGGATCCGCAAATAGCATCACTTCTACTCACACGATGTATTTCGCGACGGGTAGCTTACCTGACGAGGACAACCCCGCTCAACCTCCTGCCCGGCGAGGCATGGTCACAATGGGGCCGAGACCTGCTCGCCACCCTGCTAGCCGCATGCAGCATACGTTATCCTTCCAGTGAGGCAGAGCAGACGCGGGTTTGGGAGCAGTCTTCCCTGCCGCCGTCACTGGGCGGGATTGGCATCACAGATCCCACCGTAGAGGGCGTGTTCGGTTTCCTTGCTAGTTTCACGCAGGCGTCACTACTGCTGAGCTCCCTGCCGCTGGAACCGGACGACGTGCTGTCCACAGCCAAAAACCACATGTTGCTGCCTAGAGATACATACACTGCCCTTCACTCTTGGCTGACGGAATGTGCAGCGGCGCTGCCACTCGACGCGAGGGAAATACTGGAGAAGGAGAGGATGGAACCAGCGGGGATAAGGCTGCAGCACGCCCTCTCGGTTCAGGTACAGGGGAGCAGATACGCAAAGCAGGTCCGGGAGTCTCGCCACATGAGACCAAACCCGCTTTGTGGTCACACGCAGCGCCTTTTCTCCCTCACCGGCTACGGTTCTGGCGATTGGTTGCTGGCGATACCGATTGAAACCACGAGGCGGATAGGAAGGGAGCACTTTGCAAACGCGGTTCGTTTCCGGCTGGGCCTGCCTTTCGCCACACCGGCAAAATGCGATTGCTCGAAGCACGTCGAGATCACGGACCCGAGACTGCCCAACCACCTTTTTCGTTGCGGTACGGGGAAACACAGGATCAACACGCACAATGAGTTGAGGGACGCATGCGCCAGCATGGCACGAGATGCAGGCTTCATCGTGCACACAGAGTCAGCGGCCTATTGCCCAGTGGACGAGCAGACGGCGGATCTTACGATGATGGATCGGAGCTCAGGCGCGGTCTACATTTGCGATGTAACCATAACGGACCCGATCAGTACCAGTGATAAGACGGCGGCGAAGGGCAGGGGATGGGCAGCGAGGGAGCAGGCGGATAAGAAAATCCAACACTACGCTAGCCGGCCTGACACGGTGGGATTCTTTCCCCTGGCCGTGGAGACGTACGGGTGCCCATGTGCGGAGGTACCGGTCTTCCTGAAATTACTGGCGGATTCAGCTGCTAGGCGACACTTCAACGCCGAACCTAACTCCTATCACGCAGCTAGATTCCTCCACCTCTTTCGGCAGAGATGGTCAGTAGCGCTGCAGCGGGCCCAGTCGGTGGGTTACCTTATGAAGTCCTGCCAAGCAACCCTGGCAGAGCACCCACCGGTTGGGGGAACGCAACACGAACTCCACGTGGGTGATAGCTTTACAGTGATTGAGCCCCTAGTGGAAGTTTAAGGGGGCAGGCCGCAGGTTCCTTGTTAGTTTGTTTGGTTGTTCTTAGGTTAGTCTATCCTTGTTGTGTATTTGATAGACCTTGCATTTGTGTACCTCATATGCTATATCAATGCACGGACCATTAGAGGTAACAGAGTGAGGCAGGCAAGAGACTGTGGAGGTGGGCGAGTTTCCGACAGCTGTCACATTTGCATGAATGTGAAGGGTAAGGGGAAGAGGAAGGGAGGTGTAAATGCTGTATAACTTGTACATAGCGGGTTAGCGAAGGCGAGGATGAGAGGCGAGGGGTCAGATGGAACTTCATGTGGTGAAGGGAGGGGTGGGTTGCCGAGCCGAAGGGTCGGAGGGCTGCAAGGGAGCGAATGGGGCGGGACTTACCTAAGCAAGGGGATGGCAGCAAGGATCGGCAACAGAACAAGGCAGGGGCAGGAAGGAAGGCAACTACAGCGCCAGCTATGGATGGGTGTACGAGTGCATGCTTGTTTGCTTTCGTGTGTGTGCAGGATTGCTCCAGGGAGCCAGCTGGATCTGGATGATAGCAGCTGGAGGTACAGTAGCAAGGGGCGGGAAAGTAGGGTAAGAAGCAGCACGGCTGCAAGTCTGCTCGTAGTGGTTCATAGCCTCTATGGCGTAGACAAGGATGGCAGGGCAAAGGCGTGGAGGCGGATCATGTGCTGGTAGAATAGGCGGAGCCTTGGTAGCAATTCTCCTTGCTTGTATGTTTCTCTTTTTACACGAGTAATTTGCGGCAAACCGAGCAAGCAGTGAACCTAGGGAGACATAACGAGCATGAAGCCTTAGCATAGCGATTAGGAGGCAGAGGTGTGTGAGGGAGCACAGAGCTCATCTAAGAGAAGTAAGCAGCAGAGCACACCAGGGGAGACAAGAACAAGAACTAGGAGCACAGACTGACAAGGAGAAGGCACCACAAGGGAAGAAGGAGATACTATAATAAGAGGTGAGGGAGGCACAACGGTGAACAGACAGCAAGAGAGGGAGGTAACAGAGTAAGGCAGGTAAGAGACTGTGGAGGTGGGCGAGTTTCCAACACCTCCGTGTGTACTTTTTGTATTATTTGTGTGTCCTTCATATCTACTACATCTTCTATACAACTTCACATCCGTTCGTTGATGCTCTATTTTTTGTGTCAGAATCTAGGAATGAAGAATGACTAGAATGACAGCAGTACAAGGTTTGTATAGCAAAACCTAATTCGTCTGTACCCCATGAGGAGTGCCCCACTACAGCCTAGAGCATATAAATGCATAGTTCTAACACACCCCCATAGGCAAAGTGGGGGACAAGCAAGAGAACAAAGCAAGGTCAAGCTCAGGGTGGATCACGAAGTCACCACGCATTCTGAGCACAAGCAAATGGCCACAAGGCCATTTCACATGCAGAGTTATATATAAAGGAGAACAAGCAGTGCATTGATCACAACCTAGCAAGTGTAAGCAAGCAAGTGGAAGCATGCGTTGGACGCCCTGCCGTTGGACGCCCTGCCGTTGCCCCTGGGAGTGGCGACGTGCTTGTGGGCACCCTCGCTTCACCATGCATGCCAACAAAGCAGCGATCAATCTGCTTCGTCAACTCCACTCGCACGGATCACCACTATCTTCCCACGGCATGCTTCTCACTCTCTCACCTGCTACACCCATTTTCCAACAAGACTTTGTCTTGTCACGCATGATGTGATAACAAGCTTCCTAGTTTTTATGATAACACGAAGATGCAACCTAGACAGAATGCAATCACCAGATTTTGTAATCTGGTAATTCCGAGAATCCATTCATATTCAATCCCAGCAGCTCAAATCCAGCTTTAATGCACCTGGAGAGCAGAGTGCCGCCCACCTGGAGAGCAGAGTGCCGCCCACCTGGAGAGCAGAGTGCCGCCCACCTGGAGAGCAGAGTGCCGCCCACCTGGAGAGCAGAGTGCCGCCCACCTGGAGAGCAGTGTGCCGCCCACCTGGAGAGCAGAGTGGCAGCGGAGTCGAAGTTCTTGGAGAGCAGCGCGTGCAGCGTGTCCCCGGCGTAGGCGGGGAAGAGGGCGAGGTTGATGAGCGCGGCGATGAGGAAGCCCAGCACGATCATGGAGAAGCGCGCCAGCGGCAGCAGCAGCTTCTCGGGGTTGCGGTACGTGGAGAGCAGCAGGATGTGGAAGGTGAGCATCATTATCGTCATCGCGTACGTCCACCTGCCCACGGGGGAAGGCAGAGGGGGGGGGGGGGGTTGGGGGGGGGTTGTTGGGGTGGGGGAAGGAGAGAAGGGGAGAGGAGATGGTGTGATGAGAGCAGCAGGATGTGGAAGGTGAGCATACGAAAACCTGGTGAGAGGGGGGCGTGGGGATAGGGGATGGTGCATGGGTGGGAAGGGTGGGAGGGGGATGTGGAAGGTGAGCTGTGTGTGTCCAACATGGGGAGGGGGCGGGGAGTGGAAAGACACGCACATACGCGCAGAGCTGCACAACCAGCCTCTGCATCAGCATGTGTAGATAGGTTATTTTTTAGACGTCTCAATAATAAACTATCTACATCAGCATGCTTGTGGGAGAAGAGAACACAAGAAGTTTTTTCTTCACAAGAAGATTTTTCTTCACAAGAAGATTTTTCTTCACAAGAAAAACTTTCTACAAACAAACACAGGTCTTTACAAGCCTGTTCTATTTTCTTAACAACCTGCTAACAACTCGGAATCTGCAGCCACGTAATGTGTACCACCACCAATAAGTGGTGTTCCTTGAACATGTTCGCGCACAAGCAGGCTGAGCACAGCGCAGCCACAGCAGCACAATGCATGCGTGGGTGGTCACCAAGGGCACAAAGCTGCGCCTGTCGCACCAACTCACGGCTGTAGCCTCCTGCCCCTTCGCTTTAGGCCATGCTGCCTCCCTCGCCTCTCCATCCCCTCCCCCAAACAAGCACACACCCCCCACCACCCAACCCCCTTTCTTCCCAGCCAGACTGCCAACCCCCCTTTCCCACTCTCTCCCCCCATTTTCCCCTGATTTTACCCCCTTTCCCCTGATTTCCCCCCCTTTCCCCGCCTTTCTTTCCCATTCCCACCTTTCCCCCAAAACCCCCCACCCCAACTCCACCCCCCTCCACACCTGTCTTTGAAGGGCGGGCGGTTGCGGTAGTAGATGGGGAGGGCGGCGCTCAGGAAGACGAGCAGCAGCAGCACAGCCAAGTGCACGCTGGTGGCTGTGGGGGGGAGGGCGAGGGGTGGGGGGAGGGGAGAGAGAGCGAGGGACGGGAGAGAGGGGGAGGGAGGGATGCGGGGAAGGGAGAGGGCTTGGCATTGGCACCTGTGGTGTGAGGTGAGGTTGGGGTGAATGCGACGCAGTTGGTGGTTGATGAGGGGGATGAGAGGAGTGAGGGGGATGAGAGGAGTGAGGGGGATGAGAGGAGTGAGGGGGATGAGAGGAGTGAGGGGGATGAGAGGAGTGAGGGGGATGAGAGGAGTGAGGGGGATGAGAGGAGTGAGGGGGATGAGAGGAGTGAGGGGGATGAGAGGAGTGAGGGGGATGAGAGGAGTGAGGGGGATGAGAGGAGTGAGGGGGATGAGAGGAGTGAGGGGGATGAGAGGAGTGAGGGGGATGAGAGGAGTGAGGGGGATGAGAGGAGTGAGGGGGATGAGAGGAGTGAGGGGGATGAGAGGAGTGAGGGGGATGAGAGGAGTGAGGGGGATGAGAGGAGTGAGGGGGATGAGAGGAGTGAGGGGGATGAGAGGAGTGAGGGGGATGAGAGGAGTGAGGGGGATGAGAGGAGTGAGGGGGATGAGAGGAGTGAGGGGGATGAGAGGAGTGAGGGGGATGAGAGGAGTGAGGGGGATGAGAGGAGTGAGGGGGATGAGAGGAGTGAGGGGGATGAGAGGAGTGAGGGGGATGAGAGGAGTGAGGGGGATGAGAGGAGTGAGGGGGATGAGAGGAGTGAGGGGGATGAGAGGAGTGAGGGGGATGAGAGGAGTGAGGGGGATGAGAGGAGTGAGGGGGATGAGAGGAGTGAGGGGGATGAGAGGAGTGAGGGGGATGAGAGGAGTGAGGGGGATGAGAGGAGTGAGGGGGATGAGAGGAGTGAGGGGGATGAGAGGAGTGAGGGGGATGAGAGGAGTGAGGGGGATGAGAGGAGTGAGGGGGATGAGAGGAGTGAGGGGGATGAGAGGAGTGAGGGGGATGAGAGGAGTGAGGGGGATGAGAGGAGTGAGGGGGATGAGAGGAGTGAGGGGGATGAGAGGAGTGAGGGGGATGAGAGGAGTGAGGGGGATGAGAGGAGTGAGGGGGATGAGAGGAGTGAGGGGGATGAGAGGAGTGAGGGGGATGAGAGGAGTGAGGGGGATGAGAGGAGTGAGGGGGATGAGAGGAGTGAGGGGGATGAGAGGAGTGAGGGGGATGAGAGGAGTGAGGGGGATGAGAGGAGTGAGGGGGATGAGAGGAGTGAGGGGGATGAGAGGAGTGAGGGGGATGAGAGGAGTGAGGGGGATGAGAGGAGTGAGGGGGATGAGAGGAGTGAGGGGGATGAGAGGAGTGAGGGGGATGAGAGGAGTGAGGGGGATGAGAGGAGTGAGGGGGGGGGATGAGAGGAGTGAGGGGGATGAGAGGAGTGAGGGGGATGAGAGGAGTGAGGGGGATGAGAGGAGTGAGGGGGATGAGAGGAGTGAGGGGGATGAGAGGAGTGAGGGGGATGAGAGGAGTGAGGGGGATGAGAGGAGTGAGGGGGATGAGAGGAGTGAGGGGGATGAGAGGAGTGAGGGGGATGAGAGGAGTGAGGGGGATGAGAGGAGTGAGGGGGATGAGAGGAGTGAGGGGGATGAGAGGAGTGAGGGGGATGAGAGGAGTGAGGGGGATGAGAGGAGTGAGGGGGATGAGAGGAGTGAGGGGGATGAGAGGAGTGAGGGGGATGAGAGGAGTGAGGGGGATGAGAGGAGTGAGGGGGATGAGAGGAGTGAGGGGGATGAGAGGAGTGAGGGGGATGAGAGGAGTGAGGGGGATGAGAGGAGTGAGGGGGATGAGAGGAGTGAGGGGGATGAGAGGAGTGAGGGGGATGAGAGGAGTGAGGGGGATGAGAGGAGTGAGGGGGATGAGAGGAGTGAGGGGGATGAGAGGAGTGAGGGGGATGAGAGGAGTGAGGGGGATGAGAGGAGTGAGGGGGATGAGAGGAGTGAGGGGGATGAGAGGAGTGAGGGGGATGAGAGGAGTGAGGGGGATGAGAGGAGTGAGGGGGATGAGAGGAGTGAGGGGGATGAGAGGAGTGAGGGGGATGAGAGGAGTGAGGGGGATGAGAGGAGTGAGGGGGATGAGAGGAGTGAGGGGGATGAGAGGAGTGAGGGGGATGAGAGGAGTGAGGGGGATGAGAGGAGTGAGGGGGATGAGAGGAGTGAGGGGGATGAGAGGAGTGAGGGGGATGAGAGGAGTGAGGGGGATGAGAGGAGTGAGGGGGATGAGAGGAGTGAGGGGGATGAGAGGAGTGAGGGGGATGAGAGGAGTGAGGGGGATGAGAGGAGTGAGGGGGATGAGAGGAGTGAGGGGGATGAGAGGAGTGAGGGGATGAGAGGAGGGGATGAGAGGAGTGAGGGGGATGAGAGGAGTGAGGGGGATGAGAGGAGTGAGGGGGATGAGAGGAGTGAGGGGGATGAGAGGAGTGAGGGGGATGAGAGGAGTGAGGGGGATGAGAGGAGTGAGGGGGATGAGAGGAGTGAGGGGGATGAGAGGAGTGAGGGGGATGAGAGGAGTGAGGGGGATGAGAGGAGTGAGGGGGATGAGAGGAGTGAGGGGGATGAGAGGAGTGAGGGGGATGAGAGGAGTGAGGGGGATGAGAGGAGTGAGGGGGATGAGAGGAGTGAGGGGGATGAGAGGAGTGAGGGGGATGAGAGGAGTGAGGGGGATGAGAGGAGTGAGGGGGATGAGAGGAGTGAGGGGGATGAGAGGAGTGAGGGGGATGAGAGGAGTGAGGGGGATGAGAGGAGTGAGGGGGATGAGAGGAGTGAGGGGGATGAGAGGAGTGAGGGGGATGAGAGGAGTGAGGGGGATGAGAGGAGTGAGGGGGATGAGAGGAGTGAGGGGGATGAGAGGAGTGAGGGGGATGAGAGGAGTGAGGGGGATGAGAGGAGTGAGGGGGATGAGAGGAGTGAGGGGGATGAGAGGAGTGAGGGGGATGAGAGGAGTGAGGGGGATGAGAGGAGTGAGGGGGATGAGAGGAGTGAGGGGGATGAGAGGAGTGAGGGGGATGAGAGGAGTGAGGGGGATGAGAGGAGTGAGGGGGATGAGAGGAGTGAGGGGGATGAGAGGAGTGAGGGGGATGAGAGGAGTGAGGGGGATGAGAGGAGTGAGGGGGATGAGAGGAGTGAGGGGGATGAGAGGAGTGAGGGGGATGAGAGGAGTGAGGGGGATGAGAGGAGTGAGGGGGATGAGAGGAGTGAGGGGGATGAGAGGAGTGAGGGGGATGAGAGGAGTGAGGGGGATGAGAGGAGTGAGGGGGATGAGAGGAGTGAGGGGGATGAGAGGAGTGAGGGGGATGAGAGGAGTGAGGGGGATGAGAGGAGTGAGGGGGATGAGAGGAGTGAGGGGGATGAGAGGAGTGAGGGGGATGAGAGGAGTGAGGGGATGAGAGGAGTGAGGGGGATGAGAGGAGTGAGGGGGATGAGAGGAGTGAGGGGGATGAGAGGAGTGAGGGGGATGAGAGGAGTGAGGGGGATGAGAGGAGTGAGGGGGATGAGAGGAGTGAGGGGGATGAGAGGAGTGAGGGGGATGAGAGGAGTGAGGGGGATGAGCGGAGTGAGGGGGATGAGAGGAGTGAGGGGGATGAGCGGAGTGAGGGGGATGAGAGGAGTGAGGGGGATGAGTGGAGTGAGGGGGATGAGGGCAAAGAGGGGGATGAAAGGGATAAGGGAAATGATGGGGACGAGTGGGATGGGATTACAGGGATGGGAGGGATGAGAGGGATGGGATGAGGGGGCCATGTTATGCTATGCCATTCACGGCATGCCATACCCCACGGCATCTCACCAACGCCATGCCAAACAGCATGCAGCCATCCCACGATGCCGCCCGCTGCGCCTCTCGCCTCCTCCCCGCCCGCCCTCCCCCTCGCCCCTTCAACCCCCCTCTCGTCCCACTCGCTTTCCCCCCTCATGCTGTGGAACCTCGTGTCGTCCAAAGCCAGAGCAGTGGAGTGCGGTGAGTCAGTGCTGAGTGCGGTGCTGTGCTGGCGGCCGTAGTGGTAAGACGATGTCTACCGCAGCAGCGCCTGCCACCGTCTCTCCCGCGCGCTGTTGCTCTCCCCCACCTCCCCCAACCTCCCCACCCCTCCCATTCCCCCCACCTCGCCCGTCGCCCGCCTACTGCCCTCCCCACCCGCGTCCTTCTGTTCGCCGCCCACCCCCTCCCCACCACCCGCGTCCCGCACGGCGCGCCCTTCCGTGCTCGCGCGCCCCCGGCTGCTGCTGCCGCGGCGGCTAGTACCCGCATGCTGCCCGCCCTCGGGAATCGCCCCATCCGTTTCTTTCCCCGCGCTCGCGGGGGTCGCGTCGCCCACATGGCCGTGCTCGCCATCGCTGTCGCTGTCGTCGTCCGCAATTCGCCAGAGTTTTTTTCGCACAGGGCCTTTCGGCGTTCCTGATTCGGCCTCGGCAATCCCCCCCTCCCTGCCTCCCGCCGCTTCACTCACCACGCCCGCGCCGGATCCGCCATTCCCGCCGGCATCCGCACTTGAGACTCCTACGACTTGGGCAACTTGTCCCCCTCCGCCTCCCCCTCCCCCTCCCCCTGCAGCCGGTTCCGCCAGCGCCGCCAGCCCCAAGCCAGAGCCGCTATGATCTCCCCTGGCTGCGGCGATCAGCGCCGAAGGGGGAGCGGGCGCGCCTGCGACGGCCGCGACGCCGACGACGCCGCCCGCGATACCGCCGACGACGCCGGCCTGCACGAAGGGCGTGGAATAGACGGCGCGCGGCGGCACGACGGCAACAGTGATGTGCTCTGCGGACGGCGACGCGGCATTTCGCCCCGCGGTCAGCGCGCTAATCGCGTGTGATGCGGACGGCGATGACGGCGCGTTGGGAAGCAGCGGCGCGGCGAGATCGTCGTCATTGCCGCGGTGCGGCATGGCGGGATGGCCGGGAGTGACGCGGAGGATTCGCGTTCTTGACTTGTGAATTTGTTTGCCTGATCTGTTGAATCTTGCTTGAAAGGTTGCTCGCTGCTTGCTCACTTACCAGTGCTGGGATCAATTTTCTGCGGCGAAACTTTCTCGAGCTTCGGTTACCAGTTGGCATTAGCTCGCATCCAATCAGCAACAGGAAGCTGCAATCAGCGTCTCCCGAGTCACTTTGGCACAGGGAAAAGAAGCTTCTCTGATTTCTGCGGCAATCGCGATTGCCTCGCGAACCATTCCGTTTCCAAAGTCAGGACCACGTTACTCGACGACGGACTAACATTCCATCCACTCGCCGTTACTTGTAGGCGAAGCTTTTCTGGACTTTACTGGTGGTTACCGAGCTTGATACTCTTTCGCGAACCTTATCCGTTTCCCCTCCCCACCCACAGAACCCACCAGCACCCTCGACTCCCCTTCTCCGCTTTCCTCTTCTCCGCTTTTATTCCTTGTACTGCTGCTGCTACTACCTGTCACGTAACTACACGTTCGTCGTCGCGCGACGCACTATCGTTGAGCGATCCCCGAGGTACGACAGAATCTCGCCATTTGCCATGCGACTATTGCACTCACGAGCCCATCGCCCCCATACGCCTATCAATTCTCTCGGCCCTTTCACTTCGGCTTCGCCTTTTGTCCGCTCGTTCGCATCGCGTCTTTTGTCACGCGTGCTCGCTCCTACGCCCCTCGCGTGCTCGTTTGGTGCATGTTGCCCCACACGCCGTGCCATTCACACATTCACCTCCCCCAGCCTTCTCGCGACATGTGCCCTCTCGTTCCACCCATATGCCCCACATGCCCCACACGCCCGCATGCCCCGCATGCCCCGCCGCATACCCCGCTTTCCCCGCATACCCCGCATACCCCGCACGCCCGCATGCCCCGCATGCCCCACGCGCAGCACTCCCAATCCCCTCAAGCGTGTCCGTCGCCGCATCAGGCCGCACGAGCCTCTCGCGAGCACGGACGGCAAGGGGCGGAGAGACGCAGGTGGGCGCGAGCGGGTGCGCGCGGACGTGCGGGGAGGGCGGGGCGTGGTCGGTGAGGGAGGCGGCGGCGGGGCAGCAGCGCACCACTTTTTGAGGATTCTCAAGCGCGTGTGGGGCGGGCAGGCAGGGCAGCAGAGCAGGTTGGGTTGTGAGTGGAGTGGAGCGCGGCACTTTTGGGGATTTTCACGAGCGCGTGGGAGGGGCAGGGCAGAGCAGCAGAGCATCGGCATGGCGGAGGCGGCGGACTACATCGTGCCGGCCATCGCCATCACGGCCGCCACGGCGCTCACCTTCATCGCCGTTAGCTTCAACGAGCTGCGCGAGGTGCGCTCTGTGCTGGGATGCCGCGTGGCAGGGTGTGGTGGGGTGTGGTGTGGAGGGATGAATGTGGCGAGAAGCTGTGATGATATGCGGTGTGGTGGGATGTGAAGCGGTGGGTTGGTGGGTGCGGTGGGTGGGGGGGATGCGGTGGGTGGGGGGGATGCAGTAGGTGGGGGGGATGCGGTGGGTGGGGGGGATGCAGTAGGTGGGGGGGATGCGGTGGGTGGGGGGGATGCGGTGGGTGGGGGGGATGCAGTAGGTGGGGGGGATGCGGTGGGTGGGGGGGATGTGGAGGGTAGGGGGAGAGCGGCGGGTGCCATGGGATGGGGGGTGTGCTGCCTTGAGGGGGCGGTAATGCCTGTTGTACCCTCAGCGGCCTGTGCGCCTACTTGTGCTCACCTCTGCACTGACCCCTCTGCCCCAACCCCTGTGCCCCAACCCCTCTGCCCCAACCCCTGTGCCCCAACCCCTGTGTCTATCAGCCAATGGATGAAGGGGTGTAGGAGAACCTTGGCAGCCATGGCGGGGTCGATTGCGCCTTCGTTTGCGAAGAAGAACAACCCGACCTTCCGCTTCTCAGATTTGCCGCCTTTATCCTCTTCCTTCTTCTCTCCACTAGCTCCCATGACCCCCCCACACCTGGTTGCTTACCACCTTGCTGGTTGCTTGATGAAAGCGGGTTCCAATCCTTCGGTCGTTGGTAGCACTTTCTCCAACGATGTCCGCGCTTCTTGTAGTAGAAGCACACCTCTCCTTGACCCCCGAAGCTATCCTCCTTAGGGATTTCCTTGTTCTTGCCCTTCCAGTTCTTCTTGAAGCTACTCTTTCCACCTCCAACTCCATAGCCAGCCCCCTCCTCCAAGCGCTCCACACTCCGGCGCCACAAGTTTTCCTTTAGGATGCGCGCCCCAATATAATCCACGCTCCATTGGGGCTGTTGGGAGTTGAGGTTGATGGCAAGGGCAGACCTCGACTCCGGCAGCCGTATCACGATCTCCACACATTGCACGAGCTCCACCAGACCGCCACCTTGGAGCTTCGTGAAGATGCCGCGCATCTTGTCCAACACTGGCTGCATCGGCTCCCGATCAACGAACTTGATGTCGCACAGCCGCTGCGCAAGTAGCATGATGCTGGTAGCATGTGTCAGTGAGTGTACATCCAGAAGCTTCTTCCAAGCCTTGGGGCCACACTCTGGATCACCCAAGAGGTCCTTGATGTGGTCAAGTTGTCGTCCACCAACCGCTTGCACCATGAGCATGTACGCGTCGAACGAGCGCTTTATCCATGCTTCTTTCAGGTCCGCGGCCTCCAGCATCTTCTCCTTCCCCTCCACCAGATCCAATAGCTTGTATTGGGTGTACATCAGCCTCATGCGGAAGCTTCAGTGCTCGTAGTCCTCCCCCATGAATTTCTCAATCGAGAAAGCCTTTCTTAGGATCCACGGTTGTAGGAAATGGTGTAGTAGAAGTAGGTAGCGTAGAGTTGGCTGGTTGGTGAGTCCCAACTCCACCACCAGCAACTCCCCCCTGCTCTCCAGCCTCTCTACCTATAGCCATCTTGCCATTAGCACCTCCGGAGTCCGTATTAACCATATTGAGGCCCTATGAATAGTGGAAACTTGAGACATCGTTTGGAGAGAATTCTGCCAGAAATTTTGATTCTACGAAAATCGCCGTCGCGGACTCATTACTTCGAATTAGAATGCGGTTCGACCACCACGTAGAGATACTAGAAAAAAGTCTCACTTGTCAATATTGGTTGAGAGTTGATGACGATTCGACGTCTCAAAGTCGATTACCACTTGTTCAGGATCCGTCACTTTGAGAACATACTACGAATACAAGACTCAACTAAATGCAAATCCGCTTGGTAGGATCATGCGCCATAGCCTTAACTACAATTTCCAACTGCAGTGAGTTGTTAAGATGGTCTCTAGAGTGAGAACGATCTGAAAACGTCTAGCAGCTGCATAACTAGCATGGTGGAGGAAAAACACGCATTAGAGCATAAGATAGATGGAGTTGAGGACTCCAAGAGAACCATGAGAGAGAAGTGGTTCTCCAAGAGCCAGGGAACGATGGTAGGAACCTTCCTAGCATCAAGGATGCAACCCTCATCATGAGGTCCTTGAGGTGCCACATGCAAAATCCAATCTACCGGTAGTAGGGTTTTGCCAAGGTGTTGCAACATTTCCAACCCATGATAAAAACTTCTATCCACCCCAATCCAAAAGTCAAAGTTGGCTTCCTAACCACCCAACCATAAATATTTTTATAGTCATGTCCCAATAATCGTGCAATATAGATAATATCTCAGAATAACATAGTGTCAAACTGTATGTTTGTGTTCTCTCTAGGCTATAGTGGGTTAGCCTACAAGGGGTACAACACTTTAGGGTTAGTACTTGTACCCAACTCATTCATAGTTCATTCATTCATGCACAGTGAGTCTGTTATGGTATTCAGAGCAGAAAACCTGTTAGGTTTTTAGGGCCCACCGATCGTTCCGCTAGTTCCTGCTCGAAGCGCCCTTGCGTTGTCCGGCCCTCTCGCACAGTGTCACGCTGCCCTGCAGCTACTCGCACTGCCTGCCCTAGTGCGCTGCCCTGCTGTCACGCGCGCCCCTGCTGCCCGCGAGCAGCCCCTGCTCCGCGCGCCCCTGCTGCCCGCGTGCAGCCTCTGCCCCGCGCGCCACTGCTGCCCGTGAGCAGCCCCTGCCTGGAGCGCCACTGCTGCCCGCGAGCAGCCCCTGCCTCGAGCGCCACTGCTGCCCGCGAGCAGCCCATGCCTCGAGCGCCACTGCTGCCCGCGAGCAGCCCCTGCCCCGAGCGCCCCTGCTGCCCGCGAGCAGCCCCTGCCCCGAGCGCCCCTGCTGCCCGTGAGCAGCCCCTGCACTGCGCGTCGCGCCTTGCTGCAGCCTGCGCGTCGCGCTCTGCTGCAGCCCGCGCGTCGCGCTCTGCTGCAGCCCGCGCGTCGCGCACTGCTGCAGCCCGCGCCTCGCGCACTGCTGCTCCGCGCGTTGCGCCCTGTTGCAGCCCGCACGTCGCGCCCTGCTGCCCTGCGCGTCGAGCCCTGCTGCAGCCCGCACATCGCGCTCTGCTGCTCCGTGCGTCGCGCTCTGCTGCTCCGCGCGTCGTGCCCTACTGCAGCCCGCGCGTCGCGCTCTGCTGCCCCGCGCGTCGCGCCTTGCTGCAGCCAGCGCGTCGCGCCCTGCTGCCCCGCGCGTCGCGCCCTGCTGCCCTGCACAGCGCGCGCCCTGCTGCCCGCGCCGCCCAGGCTGAGCCGCGCCGCCCAGCCCGAGCCGCCCTGCCCAACCCGAGCCGCCCTGCTGCTACTACTACTGCTGCTGCTGCTGCTGGTGGAGGTGCTGCTGGGAGTGCTGGAGGTTCCGCCGCCCAGCCCCACCGAGCCGCCCTGCTGCTACTACTGCTGCTGCTGCTGCTCGTGCTACTGCTGCTGGTGGTGTAGGTGCTGCTGGGAGTGCTGGAGATGCTGCTGGTGCTGGAGGTGCTGGAGGTGCGGCTGGGAGTACTGGAGGTGCTGCTGGTGCTGGAGGTGCTGGACCTACTACTGACCGCCACTGCCTGCCATGGCCACTATCGCGGCAGTTGCAGCGGCTAGGGGTGGACAGCAGCGGTCTCTGCCTCTCCCGGACGACCCCACCCCTCAGTAGCTTCGTAAGTGGGTTATTCGGCGAGCTCGTCCAGGTGGTGGAGGCTTTGATTTTATGTGGCCTCAGCGACCTCGCGACTGTGCTTCTCAGCGATGCGTCCCTGGTCGTGTAGAGGCTGCTGCTCTCGGTTCTAGTGAGTCTGCTGCCGCTCCAGGTGCTGATGAGTCTTCTGCAGCTCTAGGTGCTCGTGAGTCTGCCGACGCTCTAGGTGCTAGTGCGTCTACTGCCACAGGTCCTGCCTCAGCTGAGGCCTTGCACACTTTCACGCTTGACTCAGGAGCGTCACGTTGCTTCTTTCGTGATTGCACCACAGTCACACCACTCGCAACACCTGTCACAGTCTCACTGACTGACCCCACTGGGGGCCCAGTAGTTGCGCGAGCCTCCACTGTCCTCCCGTGTCCGGCAGTCCCCTCTGGTTCTCTGTCAGGTCTCCATCTTCCCACGTTCTCGACAAACTTGGTGAGCAACGCTGCCATCCAGAATGTCTGGGTTGAAACCTTTATTCCTGGAGGGCAGCGTGTGGCGATCTGTACGTGCTCCCGGACTGGCTGTCAACTAGCTACGTTCACTCGACGGCCTGGGTCTAGTCTGTACACACTGACCACTGAGTCTGCATAGGTGGCTGAGTCAGGTCAGGTGGCTGCGTCGAGTCGGGTGTCTGCGTCTGGTCAGCTTGCAGCGTCTTGCTCGTGTCGGGTACTCTCCCACCAGACTCTCCTCTGGCACCACCGCCTCGGTCACCCCTCCCTGCCGCGTCTCCGCAGCATGCACTCCCGTCTCTGGCCTTCCCAGGTCCCTGCCCTCCCTCCCGCGCTCGCCTGCGCTGCCGTGCCTTCCCTGCGTCGAGGGGCGGCAGCGCGCCGCTCCTCACTCCTCCGAGTTTTCTCCGACCACTGCTCCTCTGCAGACTCTCCACATGGACGTGTGGGGCCCGGCCCCCGTCGGTGGAACGGACCAGGACGCTACTTTCTGCTGGTTGTTGACGACTACACACGCTACACCACTGTCTTCACCTTGCGATGCAAGGCGGAAGTCAGCGGTGTTTTGATCCCCTGGATCCGTGCTACTCGTCGCCAGCTGCGCGAGCGGTTTCGTCGGGACTTGCCAGTCCTGCGTCTGCACTCTGACAGGGGCGGTGAGTTCTCTTCCGGCCTCCTTGAGGAGTTCTATCGAGACGAGGGCATCCGCCAGACGTTCACGCTTCCGGCCTCTCCTCAGCAGAATGGGATTGCCGAGCGTCGCATTGGCTTGATCATGGAGGTTGCTCGTACCTCCATGATCCATGCAACTGCTCCCCATTTTCTGAGGCCGTTTGCGGTCCGATACGTTGCGCATCAGCTCAACCTCTGGCCTCGTGTCTCTGAGCCAGAGACCTCGCCCACACTCCGGTGGACGGGGAAGGTTGGCGATGCGTCGGCGTTTCGGGTCTGGGGCGCGCTCTCCCTTGTTCGCGATGCCAAAGCGAGCAAGCTCTCCTCTTGCACTCTCCGCTGCGTCTTCCTTGGCTTCCCCACCGACGCCCCGCCGTGGCAGTTCTACTACCCGCGCTCGCGTCGAGTCTTCTCCTCCCAAGACGTCACCTTTGACGAGTCTGTCTGTTTCTACAGGCTGCACCCGCACGCGTCCCACCCGGTCCCCCTCGCGCCTCTTTTCCTCGTACCAGTCCCCCCCCCCGGTACACCCCCTCCCCCCACAGGGTCCTGCTCCATCAGGTGTGTCTCAGGTAGACCCACCCCCCTTGGTTGAGCCTCTGGAGATCTCTTCTGACTCCTCCGGCCCAGCTGAGGGGGGTGACCCCGCCGCTGACGACACGGCGGCCACTCGCCGCTCTCCACGCTTGGAGACCCCCCTTGGTTTTCCGCCTCGGCCGTCTTCGCCGCCTCGGCAGCCTGCTGCTGTGGACTCTGGAGCGGAGACTGCTGGTGCTGAGCCTGGGGGTGCTGAGACATCGAGTGAGGGTTCTGGGGGTGCTGCGACTGGGGGTGCTGGTTCTGGGGGTGCTGCAACTGGGGGTGCTGACTCTGGGGGTGCTGCGAGTCCTAGTGGCGGTGGAGCTGTGGGTGACTCTACTGGAGGTCCTGGAGCTGTACAGCCACCGCAGCCTGATCTACTTGAGACGCTCTCGCCGCAGGCGATTCGTGCGTGGATCGTTCGGCGAGGCAGTCCTGGTGGTGGAGGGTACGGTCCTGCTGGTGCTGGAGCTGCTAGTCCTGGAGGTACTGATGGTAATAGAGGTGCTGCTGGTGCTGGAGGTGCTGGAGTTGCTAGTCCTGGAGGTACTGGAGGTGCTGCTGGTGCTGGAGGTGCTGGCACTGGAGGTGCTGGAGGTGCTGCTGGTGCTGGAGGCGCTGGAGCTGGAGGTACTGGAGGTGCTGGAGCTGCTGGTTCTGGACGTGCTCGTACTGGAGGTGCTGGAGCTTCCGGAGCTGGTGGTGCTGCTGGTGCTGGAGGTGCTGGGGGTACTGGAGCTGCTGGCACTGGAGGTGCTGGTGCTACTGGTGCTGGAGCTGCGGGAGCTGCTGGTCCTGGAGGTGCTCGTACTAGAGGTACTGGAGCTGCCGGAGCTGGTGGTGCTGCTCGTGCTGGAGGTGCTACTGGAGCTGCCGGCACTGGAGGAGCTGGTGCTGCTGGTGCTGGAGGCGCTGGAGCTGGAGGTACTGGAGGTGCTGGAGCTGCTGGTACTGGAGGTACTGGAGGTACTGGAGGTGCTGGACGTGCCGGAGCTACTAGTCCTGGAGGTGCTGGGCCTACTAGTCGTGGAGGTACAGCTGGTGCTGGAGGTGCTGGAGTTGCTGCTGGTGCTGGAGGCGCTGGAGCTGGAGGTACTGGAGGTGCTGGAGCTGCTTGTTCTGGACGTGCTCGTACTGGAGGTGCTGGAGCTGCCGGAGCTGGTGGTGCTGCTGGTGCTGGAGGTGCTGGGGGTACTGGAGCTGCTGGCACTGGAGGTGCTGGTGCTACTGGTGCTGGAGCTGCGGGAGCTGCTGGTCCTGGAGGTGCTCGTACTAGAGGTACTGGAGCTGCCGGAGCTGGTGGTGCTGCTCGTGCTGGAGGTGCTACTGGAGCTGCCGGCACTGGAGGAGCTGGTGCTGCTGGTGCTGGAGGCGCTGGAGCTGGAGGTACTGGAGGTGCTGGATCTGCTGGTCCTGGAGGTGCTCGTACGAGAGGTGCTGGAGCTACCGGAGCAGGTGGTGCTGCTGGTGCTCGAGGTGCTGGAGGTGCTACTGGAGCTGCTGGCACTGGAGGTGCTGGAGGTACTGCTGGTGCTGGAGGCGCTGGAGCTGGAGGTACTGGAGGTACTGGAGGTGCTGGAGCTGCTGGTACTGGATGTACTGGAGGTGCTGGAGCTGCTGGTCCTGGAGGTACCGTGCTAGAGGTGCTGGAGCTGCCGGAGCAGGTGGTGCTGCTGGTGCTGGAGGTGCTGGAGGTGCTACTGGAGCTGCTGGCTGTGGAGGTGCTGGAGGTACTGCTGGTGCTAGAGGTGCTGGCGTTGCCGGAGATCGTGGTGCTGCTGGTGCTGGAGGTGCTGGAGGTGCTACTGGAGCTGCTGGTGCTGGAGGTGCCGGTGCTGCTGGTGCTGGAGGAGCTGGAGCTGCTGGTCCTGCCCCGCGCCGACTGTTTTTCTATCAGCAGCCGCACTCGTCCCTGCCGCCGCCTGACTCGGTCCTTCGCTAGGTTCTTAGTCTCCCGTCTTCCACTGGCCCCACTCCACCTCTCCTGTGTCCACCGAAAGACCAGTCACAGCCACAGCTACTGCCCTGCTCCCCGCTACCTGCTCCTGCTCCTCACACTGAGGTGACTGAGTCCCTGACTGAGCGTCGTGAGTCTAAGACTCGTGCTTCCACACCTGTTCGTGCTCGCCGTGTCGCCCGTCCTCGTCCTCCTGCTGTCCCAGGCACTCACGGTATGGCACTTTGTCCTTCCTCTGTTCCACAGCGTGTTGTCCTGCCTGAGCCTCCCGCGTCCTCTCTTCCGCACGTTCCTGACCCTGAGTCCGACCTTGCTCGTGCTGCCTGTCCTACTGTCACTCGTCTCCTCGCTACTGTCGTCACTGACCCTGACTTTGAGTCTACTGCAGCGTTTGCCCTAGTCACTGAGCTAGTCGACTTTGCAGCTAGGAGTCGTCTCGACTACGTCGCGAGTCTTGTTACTGAGTCTGAGTCTGTCTGTCCTCCGTCCGTCGGGGGTGAGCCTGCCCTTAGCAGTGACGTCCTTGAGGACAGACAGTTTGAGCTTGAGTATCTTGCGGCCGCTTTACCTCGTTTCGCATCCATGCTGCTTTGCCCTGAGTGAGACCCGGATGCACTTGACATCCCTACCCCGCGCTCTTACGCTGAGGCGATCGCGGGTGAGTACTCCTCTCAGTGGCAGACAGCCATGGACGCAGCTATGGCTTCTTGGAAGTCCACAGGCACCTACGTCGACGATGTTCCTCCTCCTAGGGCGAACATAGTCGATGGCATGTGGATTTTCAGGGTGAAGCGGCCGCCGGGTTCTCCGCCTGCCTTCAAGGCGCGTTACGTTGCTCGAGGCTTCAGTCAGCGACAAGGGGTTGACTTCTTCCAGAACTTCTCCCCCACCCCGAAGATGACTACTCTTCGGGTGCTGCTGCACGTTGCAGCACAGCTTTCTCGCAGGGCAGCCTTCACGAGGAGATCTGGCCTCGCCGCCCACCTGGCTTCACTGGGTCGTTTCCTGCGGGTACCCAGTGGAGCCTCCGGCGGCCAGTCTGCGGTCTCCGCCAGGCGCCCCGCGAGTGGCACGACACACTGAGGACGACACTTGCGGCTCTTAGGTTTGCTCATTCCTCTGCTGACCCGTCGCTGTTTCTACGCACCGACACTACTCTGCCGCCGTTCTACGTTCTCGTGTACGTCGACGACTTGGTTTTTGCTACTGCTGACACTGAGGCGCTGGCCCTAGTGAAGTCCGTAGAGCCGAGTGGTCCGTACCCAGAGCTTGTGGGTTGCCTCATGTACCTGATGACGTGCACACGACCTGACCTCGCGTACCCTCTCAGCCTCCTGGCTCGCTACGTGGCACCTGGTCGACACCGAAAGGTGCAGTTTGATGCTGCGAAGAGGGTACTGCGTTACTTGTGCAGTACATCGGGCATGGGGCTCGTGCTTGGAGGACGGGGTTCAGTGGTACTCACAGGACACTCTGACGCTTCTTGGGCCGACGACCAGGCGACTCAGCGTTTGTCACAGGGTTACACCTTCAATCTTGGCTCTGAATCTGTCTTATGGAGGTCCACTCGTTCTTCTTCTGTGCTTGATTCCAGTTGTGAGGCTGAGATCTACGCTGGGGCCATGGCTGCACAGGAGCTACGCTGGCTGACCTACCTGCTGACCGACTTGGGGGAGCGGCCTCGTTCTCCTCCAGTTCTGTACGTCGACAACAAGGCAATGCTTGCCTTGTGTCGCGAGCAGAGACTGGAGCACAGAACGAAGCACATTGCTCTTCGTTACTTTCTTGCTCGGGAGCTGCAGCAGCGTGGTCAGCTGAGCCTTGCTTACGTGGCCTCTCGGGCCAACACTGCTGATGTCTTCACCAAGGCCCTCGGGTCTGGTGATCTTCAGCGTTTTTGCACTGCTCTTGGGCTTGTGCCCACTCCGCCTCACCTGCCGGTTGCTTGACTTGCTCTTGTTGTACACTGATATATCTCTTTATACCTGCTTGTTTACTCTTGCTAGATTGTGATCAGTGTACTGCGTTGCTATGATAACTCAGCATGTGAACTGGCCTTATGGCCGCTTGCTTGTGCTCAGATTGTTTGGTGTCCTTGAGATCCACCCTGAGCTTTGCTTTGCTTTTTCTCTTGCTTGACTGGTCTTGTGACCGTCTGTTGTGTTTGCTCTCTCCCACTTAGCCTATGAGGGTGTGTCAAACTGTATGTTTGTGTTCTCTCTAGGATATAGTGGGTTAGCCTACAAGGGGTACAACACTTTAGGGATAGTACTTGTACCCAACTCATTCATAGTTCATTCATTCCTGCACAGTGATTCTGACACATAGATTTCCCAAATCTTGGAAATCTTGTACCGTATGGCCCCGGATATAGGCGACGTCCGATTAAAGGTGCCGTCGCTTCTATCTGGAGCATGGCGCTTATGGCCGTAATTCGATTATAAGCGCCCCCCCTGTAAAACCTTGATATATTATAAGCGCATGCAAATTGTATTTTTCAATCCTGATTAAAACGGTAAGGAATTTCATTTTTCTAGCGAGTCAACACCCCATTTTCACTTTGTTTGACTTTCGAGGACCTACTGGTTGCGCGTCCAGTCAGTATAAGCTGGCACGCGGCCAAAATGACGTGCCAAAGCTCTGTGCACCGTCAGAGAATCGCCCTCAGGCGATTCTGATTTCGAACCCTGTAAACTTTCGATACAATTCAACTTACGAAACTGAAATGTACAATTTGGTGCGTTTAAGTTGTATTTCTGTATTTTCCATTATCTAAGCGCCGGCTCTTATGGCCGATATTAAATTACAAGCGTCCCCCTTTGAAAAACTGATTTTATTATAAGCGCATATGCGGTACTATCCGGGGTATTACGGTAACTTGGGCGATCTTGGTCGGAATAAGGCGATATTGGTATCGTTGGAAAGCTCTGGATTTCTCCTGCGTAATAAAGCATGTAGACTTGGAGGAAAATACAAAGATGGCAAAAACCAACCGCCATGCATAATGACATATGCTAATGCAAATTATGCGAGCAGCACTCAGCAGGACGTTATGATGAAATGCACTCAAACCGACGTGCATTCAACAGAAGTCGCACATGGGGGGAAACGAAGGCGCACACGGGGGGAAAGGAAGGCTCGCACGGGGGAAAAGAAGGCGCGCACATGGGGATAGGAAGGCACACCAGGGGGGGAAAGGAAGGCGCGCACGGGAAGGAGAGGGGGGGGGGGGGGGGGGTGGGGGAGGAAGGCATGCATGGGGGGGAGAAAAGGAAGACATGAGCGGAGGGAAGCGAGGATAATGTGAGGGAAGGGTGGCGAATGTGAGGGAAGGGAGACAAATGTGAGGGAAAGGGGACGGATGTGAGGGAAGGGAGACGGATGTGAGGGAAGGGGGACGGATGTGAGGGAAGGGAGACGGATGTGAGGGAAGGGAGACTGATGTGAGGGAAGGGAGACGGATGTGATTGAAGGGGGACAGATGTAAAAGAAGGGGAGGCATGCAGTGGCTTGATGTAATGCGTCGATGGTGGCGCATTTGAGGAATGGGTGCCGCATGCGATCGCCGGGAGACGGAAAAGTGCGGTTGGCGTAGGAACCATGCGAGGCGTTTCGGAAATGCGCAAAAGCTTAGAGGTAGTATACGACTGAAGAGTGGCGGACACATGCTACATGCAACGCGGTAATCCGAAACGAGCAAAGGCGGTAGACGAGGGATGGGCGGGTGAAACGAGCGTCTAGCGTCTAACACGAGCCCAGGGCGGCGGAAACGAGCCTAGGGTCCCCGAAACGAGCCTAGGGCGGCGGAAACAAGTGCTCTTCGCTAAACGAAGTGTAGATGTATATAACATTGGACCCTGATGCAAAGGGGGTCGGAATAGAGCCTATGGCAAAATGAGCAAAGGGCGGCGGACTCTGGCGGCTGGAGAGTGGGAAGGGATTCAATAGCGCCTGATGGGAGGAGCCACGAAATATCTCCCAAACTTAGCACTAGCGATATCATCGTGTAGCGACTGGTTTTTGTTGCAAGTGTTTCTACTCACCGATTACACTTTAGTCGCTTTTGTCTCGCTGAGATTGCTACGGCAAAAACCATGAGCGGAAAACGGGAGCCCCCACCCCAATTATCTCCTAGATTAGTAGAGACTCGTGGGCGTAGGTGAGATGTAACAAGCAATCGAGTTGAGTCCGCTTTTGTTCTAAGGTTTTTTTTGTGTACCAGTCTAGGGTTTCTCCGCCAGGGAGCCCTGCTAGCCTTTCGATTCCCTCCCCCCTCAAAAACAGGGTTACAGTTCAAAAATTAAAAATTTGAACCTAACCTGCCGAAAGTGCACCGTCGCTTTAAGACTCCGTTCCCCACATGGGACACAGCTGAAAAGGTATAGGGGAAGGTTTCAGGCCAAGGAGCAATTGATAAGGCCTCGGAATAATCCTTCAACCCATCCTCAGGTGAAGTTTGAGATAGAATCAAAACCTTCGGGTGTAGGACCTAGGGATAAAGGTTACTTTGATGTACCCTATCATACTATAAATGAGACTATCCTTGGTTACTCCGAGTGGCAGCAGCCACTACTCCTCAAGGTGCTCTGCAAGGGGCGACGCCTCCTGGCAATGGTGGATACGGGTGCGTCCCACTCGGTGTGCAACTGCGGGACGTTGGAAAAAATTGGAGAGTCCTTGTAGGAGACCCAGTTCACGGCAACGATGGTGGACGACAGTAACCTACCAATCCACGACGAGTCTACTCTATAGTTGCAGAAAGGGGTGCGGATGTGGAGGCCAACACTGCAGATCACGAACATCAACGGACTGGATTTTATGTTACGGCGAGATTACTTGAAACGGTTCTGTCAACGGGAGTTGGGTGTTGGCCCCATCCTCGCTTGGGCGGAGCCAACTTCGTGGTCGGGTGTGTGGGAGGTGCAGCCGACCTACAGTAGTGGGCGACGCTGATTTGGGCGAGCTGGCCGACGAGTTTGGTCGACATGCAGGTCGACAGCTTTGGGAGGCCGACCAGGCGAGGTCGGCCTGACAGGGCGCCGGCTTGGTGACGCCAATTTGGGGAGGCCGACTTGGAGGAGTCGGCGAACAGCTGCTGTGGTCGATGAGGTTGTCGTCGACTTGTGGGGTGACCGAGTTGGTGAAGTCGGCAGGAGGTCATCGACTTGGGTGGTCGACAAGCACGTACCGCAACTGGTCGACACCGGCCACACAAGTCGACGCCGACTTGGTGGTTTCCCGGTCGACCAAGTAACCCGGCGACGAGGCTCAGCGGAGGTGCGCGACAGTCGCCGTGGTGGTTCTAGCGAAGCCGACCTTGAGAAGAATGAAGAACGAGGATGAATGAACTATGAATGAGGTGAGTACATATGGAAAACCCTAATTGGGTTGTACCCCCTATGGGATACCCCACTATAGCCTACACAACAGCATAAGCTATATAATGTTCTGACACACCCCCATAGGCAAAGTGGGGGAGAACAAGGGGTCACAAGACCAGTCAAGCAAAGAAGAGCAAGCTCAGGGTGGATCACAACGTCACCACACAGTCCGAGCACAACGACAAGGCCAGTTCACATGCAGGAGTACACATATATATATAGAGCTAGACAAGCAAGAGCAGGTATATATATGTGACAGTACAAGTAAGGTCAAGAGGAGAGCAAGTGAGGCAAGACAGGTACAAGACCCAGCTGAGTGCAGAAGCGCTGATGGTCACAAGGCGCAAGTGCCTTGGTGAACACATCAGCAGTGTTGGCCTGAGAGGCCACGTACGCAAGTCGCAACTGACCACGCTGCTGCAGCTCACGAGCAAGAAAGTAACGGAGAGCAATGTGCTTCGTTCTGTGCTCCAAGCGCTGCTCTCGACACAAGGCCAGCATGGCCTTGTTGTCTACGTACAGCACTGGAGGAGAACGAGGCGGCTCTCCAAGGTCAGTCAGCAGGTAGGTGAGCCAGCGAAGCTCCTGTGCAGCCATGGCCCCGGCGTAGATCTCAGCCTCACAACTGGAGCCGAGAACAGAGGACGAGCGAGTAGCTCGCCACGAGACAGAGCCGGAACCAAGACTGAAGGTGTAACCCTGCGACGACCGCTGCGTAGCCTGGTCGTCAGCCCAAGAAGCGTCCGCGTGCCTAGTGAGGACCACTGGACTCCGCCCTCCAAGCACTAGTCCCATGCCCGACGTACTGCACAAGTATCGCAACACCCTCTTCGCTGCAGCCATGTGCTCTGGTCGGTGTCTCCCAGGAGCAACATAGCGTGCAAGAATGCTAAGAGGGTATGCAAGGTCAGGTCGTGTGCAGGTCATCAGGTACATGAGGCAGCCAACAAGCTCTGGATACGGGCCACTCGACTCTACTGACTCATCCGAAGGCAGAGCTGAGAGTGAGTGGCGAGTAGGCAGAGGAGTGGCCTGAGGCGAGGAGTACGTGAAGCCGAAGCGCTGAAGGACCTGCTGCACCATGTGTGACTGAGTCAGGGTAATGGTGCGGCGTGCTCTGTCCCGGGTGATCTGCAAGCCAAGGTAGCTGCGCAGTTCACCCAGGTCTGTGCACGTGTGTCTCTTCTGCAGCTCGGACTTCACGTGGGCGAGTCCAGCAGTGTCAGCTGTGGCAAAGACCAAGTCGTCGACGTACACGAGGATGTAGAACGGCGGCAGAGAGGTGTCGGTGCGTAGAAACAGCGACGGGTCGGCAGTAGAAGGAGCAAACCCAAGAGCCGCAAGCGTAGTCCTCAGTGTGTCGTGCCACTCACGTGGCGCCTGGCGGAGACCGTAGACTGGACGCCGGAGACTCCACTGGGTACCAGGAGGGAAAGACCCAGTGAAGCCAAGTGGGCGGCGCAGCCAGATCTCCTCGTGCAGGCTGCCCTGCAAGAAAGCAGTGCTGAAGTCGAGAGAGTGCAGCTCGTAGTCACGGTGAGCAGCAACGTGTAGCAGCACCCGAAGAGTGGTCATCTTCGGGGTGGGGGAGAAGGTCTGAAAGTAGTCAACTCCCTGTCGCTGACTGAAGCCACGAGCCACGTAACGTGCCTTGAAGACAGGCGGAGAACCCGGTGGCCGCTTCACCCTGAAGATCCACATGCCACTGACGATGTTCGCCCCAAGAGGGGGGACAGCGTCAACGTAGGTGCCTGTGGACTTCCAGGAAGCCATCTCTGCATCCATAGCTGCCTGCCACTGAGAGGAGTAGGGACCCTCTATCGCCTCCGCGTAAGAGCGCGGAGTCGGGATGTCAAGTGCATCCGGGTCTCCCTCAGGGGTAAGCAGTACGGACACGAGATGAGGTGAAGTAGCTGCCAGACACTGGAACTCCTCCTGCCTGTCCTCAAGGACGTCCGTGCCAAGGGCACACTCACCCCCGACTGACGGAGGACAGGCAGACCCAGACTCAGCGACAAGACTAGCAGCGTAGTCTAGGCGACAGCGAGCAGCAAAGTCGACGAGCTCAGTAACTAGGGCAGACGCAGCAGTAGACTCGAAGGAAGGGTCAGTGACGACAGTAGCAAGGAGACGCGTGACAGTAGGACTGGCAGCACGAAGAGAGTCCGACGCAGGGTCGGGAAGAGCAGGAAGAGAGGACTCAGGAGGAGAAGGCAAAGGGGCACGCAGAGGAGCAGTAGACGGACGCAGAGACATCCTGTGCGTGCCAGGGACAGGAGGAGGACGCTGACGCGAACCACGACCACTAGCGCGAGCAGCACGGACAGGCGACGCAGGGCGAGACGCAGGCTCACGACGCTCAGTAAGACCTCCAGTAGGACCAGTGTAGGGAGAAGGAGCAGGCAAAGGGGAGGTAGGCTGTAGCAGTGACCGCGACGGGACAGGCTGTGGACCCTCCAAGAGAGGAGGAGGACCAGGAGAGGGCGGAAGACCAAGAACCTGCTGCAGGAGTGGAACGAAGTACGGTCGAGGCCGCGTAGCTACGCCAGAAACAGCAGGGACAGCACCAGTACCCCCAGCAGGAGCACCCGCTCCAGCAGCACCTCCAGTAGCTCCAGAACCTCGAGCAACACCAGGAGCACCCCCAGCAGGACCGCCAGTGGTAGTCTCAGCGCCAACACCCTCAGCAGCACCAGCTCCAGTCGAACCCGCAGGCCCAGCAGCTCCAGTACTCCCAGTACGAGCACCTCCGGGACCCGCAACAGCAGCACCCTCAGTAGCCGACGAACCTCCAGCACCAGCAGCACGGCTCCAGCGCCGGGCAAACCACTCGCGCAGCTCCTGTGGAGAGAGTGGCTCCCGGCGAGACAAAGCACGCGTAGAAACTCGAGGCGGAGGACCTCCAGGCGCAGCACTCCCAGGTCCAGCACCCCCAGGCAAAGCACCCCCAGGCGTAGCACCCCCACACTCAGCACCCCCAGGCTCAGCACCCCCAGGCTCAGCACCCCCAGGCTCAGCACCCCCAGGCTCAGCACCCCCAGACTCAGCACCCCCAGACTCAGCACCCCCAGGCTCAGCACCCCCAGGCCCAGCACCCCCAGGCCCAGCACCCCCAGGCTCAGCACCCCCAGCAGCACCAGAGTCACCAGTGACCTCG